GTAGTTGAGTATGGCAGTAGCTACAACTTGTATCTTAATTAGTGGAATGCTTGTGTTTACCTCTTAATTGCATCATTTTAGTGTCTTCTATAAGCTTTTGGGCCAAAAACAATGCAATATGAGGATAGATGTTATATCAACCATAGAGGTGTCAATCCTCGCATTTACATTTGTTTTCTGATCTTCCATTTAGTTGTAAATTGGCATTTAGTGTAATGTTGCTTAAGAGGATCACGAACATTCTCTTGATGAGATAGTTGGACTGCAAACTTACTATGATGACGATATGAAGCTTTAGAAACGATGGAATGGCTATAAAACCTATATTCCCTTTTAACCTAGCCCAAAATTACCCATGATACAGTTTGAAATTAATGGAGGCTATATTAGGTGACAATACTTCTCTAAACTGGGAGAAGATTTTAACATCCCAGCCCCGGGGTGATATTCTCTGCTTAGGCCATAAGTTTGCACGATTTTAAAACGCGCCACTAGAGTCTAAAGCTTGCTTCTTTACCTAGTATCTCTTCCGTGCTTTGTCGATGCGAGATTTTGCTTAGGATGTTAATATATCTTAGGGACTCAGTGTCCTCGCTGGCTGAGTGATTTGGCTGCTATCATTAGGTAAGAGATCTGTACCAGTTTATACAATATGTTGACAGAGAAGTTTTAGGTTGTTTCGAGATGGATGGATTTTATGACTTGTATGGAAGCATTTCATGTTCTAATTGATGTTTTGAAAATGGATTATGTAAGATTTTGTACTTTGTAATCTATCATTCCATTTGCTTACCGCTTTGACATTTATTGTGTTATGAATTCCTTGCTTACTCTCACGATATTCTATGTGATATGTTTTGAGAAATTAGGGCCGCAGGGCTTTGGTTCAATGGCAAAGGTAGTAAAGTTCGGGATGTGTGGTCGGCAGCTAGGCACACATCGCGAGCTCGAATCCTGCTGTTGAGTAAGTCTTGTATTTAAATGGAGAAGGGTAGAAGGGCGGGCCATCATTGACTAGTTTCGAAGCTAAAACGATGGTTTGTCGGTTGTAAAATTAGTTGAAAAATCAGGTAGTTGAGTAGAGAATACCTAAAACCTGTAGGCTAATTAGTTGAGATGCCGGTTGTTAACATTTAGTAGCATCATTTTATGTCTTCTATGAGCTTTTGTGGCCGAAAAACATGGCAAGATGGGGATAGTTATTGCGTCAACCACAGAGGTGTCAAGCCTGGCAATTACACTCCTCTTGTAATCTTCCATGAAATTTAAATTGGAATCTTGTGTAATGTTGCTTAATAGGTTCACCTAGACACCAACATTGTGATGAAATAGTTGGACCATAGACTTCCTATGACGACGATAAGAAGGTTTAGAAATAGTGGAATAATACTGGCTATAAAACCTACTTAGTGCTCCCACGTTTCTTCTAAACCTAGCCCAGAATTACTCATAATCCACTTTGGTATTAATGGACTTCCATTTGGTGACAAATTGACAATACATCATTAAACTGCGAGCTATCTGATTTACATGTTAGCTGCAAGTAAGTTATGATATCCCACCTCAATTGGTATGGAAGTAGATCTGTTGAGCTTTGGAGAGAGAGGGGTTAGTATAGATTTTGGACAGTAATGGACAGGTTATTGTATTGCGTAATAGTACTGTTTTTCTTTATCCTGTCCTCTAAGCTGATAATGTAAATTGTTCACGATTTCTAAGTATAGTGGCAGAAGTGTCTGTGAAGCCTTTCTATATATTGAGAATGAAAAAATAGGAACTGATGTAACCTATTAAAAAAATAAAGCAATAAAGAGAAAAAATAGAAACCAATATAGATTTCGACCGCACCCAAGGGTGTGGCCTAGTGGTCAATGAAGTGGGTGAGAACCATGAGGTCTCAGGTTCAAATCCTAGCGGAGGCAAATACTAGGTGATTTCTTCCTATCTATCCAAGCCTTGGTGGATAGAGTTACCTGGTACCTGTTGCTGGTGGGAGGTGGCAGGTATCCCGTGGAATTAATCGAGGTGTGCGCAAGCTGGCCCGGACACCACGGTTATCAAAAAAATAATAATATAGATTTCGACCGACCTTGAAGAGTAGGAGGAAAATTTGCCGCTAATTAGTTTCCCTTTAAAAGCAAGTATGACAACAAAGATTTCTCAGATTGATGATGTTTCATGTGCTTTGGTGAAAACTCTGAAATTGACACTTGGAAGCTTAGTTGCTCTGACACGGGTGCCGGTGTTCGATACGGGTGCAGATCTTGAGGTCGGATCTTCGAGATGTAAATTCTAAGATTCGGTGACACGGATCCTAGTACGGATATGGATGCGGGGATCCGGCTAAAAATACAACAACAACCCAGTATAATCCCACTAGTGGGGTTTGGGGAGGGTAGTGTGTACGCAGACCTTACCCCTACCCTAGGGTAGAGAGGCTGTTTCCGATAGACCCTCGGCTCCCTCCCTCCAAGAGCTCCCCTCCTTGGTTCTTGGGGTGACTCGAACTCACAACATCTTGGTTGGTAGTGGAGAGTGCTCACCACTAGAGCAACCCACTCTTGTCAAATCCGACTAAAAATAATTTAAAAAAATAAAAATATATCTAAATTATGAGAAATTTTGTGGAATACTTATGTATAGCTTGTAAAATGTGAATTTTTTTTTTATTCTCAACTTGTAGATAAGTAAATGATTGATTTCCCAGATAGGTATGCTATTTTCTTTAAATTTACCTTAGTTTTGGTTTTGATTTCGAGAATCAAATTGTATCTCATCTCGAATTTTCCCGTCCGTCGCGGTCAAAGTACCCAAAATTGACCAAATCCGGAACAGATCTCATACCCACACCCATACTAGTGTCGTGTCGACACGGGTACGGCACCTTGGAATAACGCATGGGGAAATAGGAATCTAGAGGGCAAACTGTGGCTTTATGGTATAGAACTGTACTTAAAGAATCTATAACCGACAAAAAGATTAAGATTTTAAGTAATTTAGAAAATGATTTAAGATCAGACTTCAGAAAGGAGAGGGTATCCACTTCTAAGATAACCGAGAGAGTTAAAAGAATTTAGCATAATCTGTGAAATGTGAGCAGGAATCTGATTCTGTTCAGCAGAAGGCAAAAAAAAAATACCATCAGTCATTTGCTTTTCAACATGGTGTGAAACTTCAGATTTATAGTATTAACCATAAAGAACACAATTTAGAGTGAGATGTAGTTTCTTTTATTAGTAATAATTTTCGGGAAAGTTATTTTTTGTTAGTTACTAGCATGTGAAGTCAACAGTTTCAAACTATCAATAGCAGAGTTAGATATCAATAGCAGCCAAAAATGGGAAATGAATGGAGAAATGGCATTGGAATGAGAAAACATTGTTCATAATTGTTGCTTTGTATTAATTGCATCAATAGATACTTAGACATTATTATCTATCTTTGATACTTAAAATTTTCAGTACAAAACACTACAAATTACTGAGACTTATCAAATGTTTTTTCACCATCCAAACATTGAAAACATTTTTCGATGATAGATAAATCAAATTTTCAATCAAATCCAAATTCAGATTCAAGATCAACGTACAGAACAAGCTGTCAAACCTTTGAGTCGATAACCGAAGAATCAAATACTATAGATTGTGCACATTGTACTTAATGAGTGCCCTTGCTTATGTATATAGTTTTCCATCAACATAAATCTGCAAATAAATACTACTCCTTATGTTCCACTTTGCGTAAATCTTCTATTATTTGGAGAGTCAAATTAAAAAAAAATTCGACTATGTTTTTTCCAAACACTTTCTAAATATTTTGAATCATGTTAACTATTGTGATTTGTAATATTTTTTAGTGTTAACAAATAAGTAGTATTGAGAGTGTCTTTTAATATTTTGATACATAAGTAAGCGCACTCCATGAGCAGAGGCAGATCTAGCCTTTTGACACCGATTTCAATTGAACGCATAACTTTCAAGGTGGAGTATAAATTTATGCGTAAAAATTCTCTAAAATTGCAATAAATAGTAAATTTCTAAAATTGAACCCATAATTTTAAAAATGAAATGAGTTCAATAATAAAAACTTTTAAAGCTAAACCAATAGAATTAAAATTTTGAATCCATCTCTAACCATGAGTCCTAGAGATTTGGACCACAAAGCACTTTTTGGAAAAAAAAGCTCAACTCAACTCTGGAACTTTTGGCATAAAAATTACTCATTTATTTTTACTTGTCCACTAAAATATATTTTCACTTTTACTTATCTATTTTAACAAATCAAGAGAAAGATAATATTTGTTTTTCTGTTTTATCCTTATCATTAACGACTCATTTCTTATTCAAGACTTTTTGAGGTACTATCATTATTATAGTTATTATGGTAAAATCAGTACCTATTATTTATTAATTGGAGTGCAAAGTTTACCGTGTACAAGTAAAAATGGACCGAGTTAGTAGGAACGATCTATTTACACACTTAAAATTGAAGTGGAAAAACTAGTAACTCGTTAGTTACGCAAACTACACCATAAATGCAGAGACAGGTCTAGGATTTTTTGAATATGGATGTCCCATTGAAAAAAATAAAATAAAAAAGTATTTAAGTGAGATACCTATTCCACAGGGTAAATAACTCAATATTCAATCAAGTGCACCATTTAATTTTTTTGAAGTATGTGTGCCAACAGATAATATTAAATTAATTCTAAAAAATACGTATATAAAATACCTAGTTTGACGATGAGATCATAAGTTCACGTGCCCCACGATTGGAGTTATAAATCCGTCCCTACATAAATGAATGAAACTAAAGATTCTAATTTTAATGGGGATATAAATCAAGTGGTTTAATTAAATTAAAGAAAAGAAGCTTTTAGTACTTCACATTTATAGATAACCACAAAATCAGTGCTACTGACAAAGCCAACGGTAACTTTATTCAAACCACTAAAAAGCCTCCTTGACCGTTGTGTCCCAAAGTATTCTCTCCATCTTTCTCCCTCTGTTTTCTTCTATCACAAATCCCAATCATTATAGTTGAAAATAATGAGGTGCTTTACAGCTTGCTTTGGTAATTGCAAGCACAAGAAAATCATTAAACCATGTACAGATAGTTACAAGAGTAATAGCATCTCTCCTAAAACTCTTAAGGTTAGTATCCCATCCCCACTAGTTATTCTGGTAATTTTCATAAGCTATTGTTTATGCTGAGTGAACGAAGTTCTGTCAGAAACAACTTCTCTGTCTGCACAAGATAGGAGTAAGGTCTGCGCAGAGTTAGATTTAGAATTTAGATTATGTAGGTTCAATTTTTAGGATTTTTAGGATTGAACTCATTGTATTTTTAAAGTTATGGGTTCAGACTTATCATTTGTTGCAATTTTAATGAATTTTTACGTAGAAATTTATGCTTCGCGGCAAAAGAACTGGATTTAGATGAACGCGTCGGCCATACTTTACATCCGCCATTGGGTCTGCATATACACTATCATTCTCAGACTCGACTTGTGGGAATACACTTGATTTGTTGTCGTTGTTGTTGCCATCATAAGTTGTTCGCTTTAATTTGAGGTTATTGATTAACTTCTCATGCTTCTTTTTTTCTTTTTTGTTTAAAAGAATTTGCTCAAGACACACAAAAATGGCGAAGCATCTGTAGCCATTAAGAATGCTACAAAAGAAGAAGCTCAGCATGGGGATGTTACAAACACCATTAACATCATTCAAGAATCCAAGTAAGATTTTTTCTGAAAACTTTAGATGTCATGTTTTAAAGCTAACAATAATTACGTAGACGGGGCTAGGATTTTAATTTGATGGATTCAATTCGCTAAAAACTGAATCTATTACACTTTTGAAATTATGGATTTAGTATCCAATATTTACTGAAGGGGAGTCTTGAGTCTTGGCATAACTAGTAAAATTATTGCCATATGACCAGGAGGTCACGAGTTCGAGCCGTAGAAATAATCTCTTGCAGGAATACAAGGTAAGACTATGTACAATAGAACCTTGGGATCCGGCTCTTCCCTGCCCCGCGCATAGTGGAAGTATAGTGCACCGGACTGTCCTTTCTTTAATCTAAACATTTACTAAACAAATTCACATTTATATCTATTTCCTGTCAAAAAATTTGCCACTCTTCATTCTCTAAAACAAACAGGAATAAGGAGGAAGAAGAAGAAAAGGAGTTGAATATAAGCAGCAGAAAGAAGGTTACATTTGATGATGTAAATATATCATCAATCATCAATGAGAGGGGCTTAGCAAACCAAGAATCTGCATATTGCTTAGAGGAGATTTGCAACAAGGAAAAGGAAAAGGAGAAAGGGAATGTAAAAGAAGAAGAAGAAGAAGAAGAAGAAGAAGAAGAAGAAGAAGAAGAAGAAGAAGAAGAAGAAGAAGAAGAAGGGACCACGCTTTCAGATTCAAGCGCGTCAAGCTATATATCTTTTCCTCCAAGTCATAGATATCATTGCTGCAGAAAGAGTGATGACGAATTTGAAGCTATTGATTTAAACGATAATGATCTGGAAAATGATGATGATGTTGAAGTTTCTGGAAATGCAATGATTGAACAAGAACAATCTTCCGACTCATCTTTATTTTCGCTCTCCATAGACTCTAGGAAAAGAAATCCTAAGCCAGAATTGGGTGAAAAGGAGGTCAATAGTCCATTGAAACTTAGTGCTAAAGATCGGAGTCAATTATCAGTGTTGAATCCCATTCAAGAGAAGGAAAATATCAATATTTTGAATCTTCCTAACTTTAGAACTAGTACTACTTATTGTGTACAACAAGACCCTAGTTTGAAGCAGTCAACAAAACAAACAAAGCGCCTGGAGGAGAATCAAATCACAGTAGATACTAGCCTTTCAAGCTGGTTAATTGAATCTCAAGATGACGACACACCAAATTCCAAAAACAATGTTGGTGATTTGGTTGGCAATTATTCATCCACGCCTTCGATACGAGTTGAAGATAGACCAGTTTTAGTTGAACTCAAACACATAGCTAACTCATCTTGTGTAATAGGGACTGTGGGGAGTTATTTGAGACATACAGGGCAGGCTACAGATTCAGATTCTGCTTCATCTTGCAAAGGCATTTCATCGAACAAGACATATGCGCTCCTAAGAGAGGTACATCGTGTTCTCATTTCCTCAATTTTTTACTTTGCTTTAATTTTCAACTCACTTCTCATTCTTTATATTGTTAATGTGGTTTGATTCAACACGAAATTTAAGAAAAAAAAAAATTTAAAATTGTAATAATATTTGTGTCGCACTTTTGAAACTTGTGGACGAGCAAATACCATTTATTTTCTTCTAACAGGTTGACTTGGGATTTGCAGGATAAAAACTATATTTGCAGCCATTCTACACCATTTCAGGTCAGGTTAGTGAGAGCACTAGATAGTGATTTGGCTCAAGCTTAACTACATTTCTCTTGAGCCGAGGGTCTATCGAAAACAGCCACTCCCCAAACTCTACTCGTGAGATTACAGAAGGGTCTATCGAAAACAGCCACTCCCCAAACTCTACTCGTGAGATTACAGAATATGTTATTGAAAGGGATCATTAAGCACAATGTCTCATCGTTTGACAGGAAAAAGTTGTGCCCCTTTTGTGTAATTAGTATGAATTGCATTTTGTTGGACGAGTCGGAATTTGCTAGGAGCGTGTATTCTTCCGAATTTGTCGTGCCAGTGAAATGTGTCTGTACGGTATGTTCAAGCGATTTGATAGTGTAAAAATATTTATGACGGCATATTTATGAATTTAAGCTTTTGAAATAATATTTTGAAATTATCGTGTAGTAAAATACTTGATTAATATGCAATGTATACATTTATCTGATTGGACACTTAGGATAATGAAACATTACATCGAGACATATAGCTAAATAAAAAATAAACAAATTAAATTTGCTATATAAAGACTTTTTGGATTTGGAATTAGTCTTCAGCCTTGACTTTGACACATCTGTACCTAATTTGATTCGTTAATAATGTGGCATTGGAGTCTGTTTAGATAACTAGTCCTGTTTTCTATATAAACTTTTGAGAAGTTTTATTCCACCAGAAGGCATTAGAGTGGACTTTTCTCAATATCTCCTAATCATTGAAGTTTAATGATGCAATTGTTCTTGAATTGAAAGGGAAACAACTCATGAGGTTGACAATCAATAATTTATATAATTTCTTTAAAGGTCAAAACAAAAGTTGGTTAAATCATATCAATCTCATATAATGAGAGGTCCACATATTGAAAGTTGATAAGAAAAAAAAGTCGCATTTAAGGTTTATATATACTTTTAATATTGTAAGACCTTTTGTTAGAAGTTCAGAGTGAGCTCATGCAATGGGTTTCAATAGAGAAAACCCCAGCTGTACAGTAGAGAGAAAAGGGGAAAAGAACTGTCGGAGAAAATATCTATTATTATTAATGAATCTCCTAACCTCTTATTTCCGAAAATACAAGTATTTATACTTATGTTACAATATGACTATATTTTACAAAGGTAAAATGGCTAAAGAATATAAAAGTTACGTTGCTATATGTGTGTGTTATAATGTGGGCCGCTGGGAGAGGAGTGGGCCTGGTCTGAAGGAGTCCGGAACTGAGGTCTAATCTGCTCAACACCCCCTCCCCTCCCAAGCTTGGGGGTGAGAACACTCCAAGCTTGCCTAGTAAATGATGGTAAGAGACGCTTGTAAGGGGCTTGGTCATGATATCAGCCAGTTGCACAGCACTTGCAACATAATGAAGGGAGACCAAACCAGAAGTAACATTGTCGCACACATAATGACAGTCAATCTCGATGTGGTTGGTGCGCTCATGAAAGACTGGGTTCTTAGCAATGTGTAGGGCAGCCTGGTTGTCGCAAAAAACAGGAACATGATGAGAAATAGAGACACCAAATCAGCAAGTAACCTGATTAACCATGACATCTCAACAACTACTTGTCGAATGGCCCTACATTTAGCCTTAACAGAGGACAGTGATACAGTTTGTTGCTTCTTGCTCTTCCAAGAAACAGGGCAACCATCAAGAGTAATAAAATAACTAGAGACAGACTTCCTGGACATGGCACAAGCTGCCCAGTCGGAATCAGAATAAGCCTTGAGAGTAAAATCAGCATCAGGAGAGAGGAGAATACCCATAGCTGGGGTAGCAGATAAGTACCTCAGAACATGGATAGCAACAAGTATGTGAGGGACTTGAGGAGCTTGGAGGAATTGACTAAGATGTTGTACTGAGAAAGCAATATCAGGTCTTATGTGTTGTAGAAAATTAAGTTTGCCAACTATCCTCCTATAAATACTAGGATCAGACAGTGGCTCCCCCATATCAGTTGAGAGTTTGACAGAGCCATCGAGAGGAGTGATCACAGAGGAAAAATTCTGGCAATGAAACTCTGAAAGTAAATCAGAGGTAAATCTGTATTGAGTCATAAGAAAAACAGCAGCAACTTTAGTGACTTCCAGGCCCAAAAAATAGTGAATAGACCCTAGGTCGTTGATTTTAAACTGAGCATCAAGGAAAGCTTTGACATCATCCAGCTCAGAAACATCATCACCAGCTAGAAGGATGTCATCAACATAAACAGCTAGAACTGTGAGGGAACTGCCAGTGGACTTGAGGAATAAAGAGTAGTCATTTTTACTAGGAATGTAGCCTTTATTGAGCAAGGCCTCAGACAACTTGGAAAACCTGTCTAGAGGCCTGCTTGAGGCCATATACAGACTTCATTAGCTTGCAAACCAATGGAGAAGAGGAAGAGGAAGATGTAGAAGAAAGCTGCAAACTAGGAGGGATCTTCATATAAACTTCTTCATGAAGATCACCATGTAAAAAAGTATTGTTGACATCTAATTGATAAATAGTCCAATTCCGCAAAGCAGCAATGGTAAGAAGGCACTTAATGGTGGTGAATTTAACCACAAGAAAAAAATGTCTCATTGTAATCAATGCTTTCTTTCTGAGTGTCACCCCTTATCACTAATCCGGCCTTGTACCTTTCAATGGAACCATCAGACATTTATTTGATCTTGTAGACCCATTTACAAGGTATAGGCTTCTTGTAAGGGGGAAGGGGAACAATGTCCCAAGTGTGGTTTGCATCTAAAGTTTGGAATTACATTAGCATGGCCTCCTGCCAAGCACGGTGAGATGCAGCCTGTTGGTAAAACTGGGGCTCATGTATGTGCAAAACAGAGGAAGAGACCTTAGAAACTAGAGAAGCAGGAGCCTTGGGAGCAAGAGATGGACAAAGATAATCCCTTAAATAGGGTGGAGGATTACTAATCTTGGAGGAATGTCTGATAGGGAGAGAAACAATAGGAACATGAGGGATAACAGGTGGAGAATGAGGAGAAGAAGGAGGATCAATGGTAAAGGGAGGAGAACTAGAAACAACATGAGGAAAGGGAATAAAAGAATGAGGATAAGTAGCAGAAGTGGGGGACGGTGGAAAGTTAGGTAAATCTACAAAGGGAGTAGGAGAAGAAGGAAAAATTTGTGAAAGGGGAGAAAAATAAAGAAATACATGCTCATGAAATACAACATCCATAGAATATAGGATAACATGGTTGGAAAAAGTTAGCAACTTGTAACCTTTCTTGCCACAGGGATAGCCAAGAAAGATACAAGGCAGTGCTCTTGTCTGAAACTTGTCTCTTCCAGATTTGGGTGTGATGGCATAGCATAAGCATCCAAAGGATCTAAGATGATCATAGTGAGGGGGATGACCATGCAATTTTTCATAGGGGGTAGGTTGTTCAGGACAGTGGAGGGAAATCTATTGATGAGTTATGTGGCTATGAGAACACATTCACTCCAATACTTGGTAGGTAAATGTGATTGGAAAAGCAAAGCTCTAGAAGTTTCTAAGAGGTGTTTGTGCTTTCTTTTCACAACACCATTTTGTTGAGGAGTGTGAGAGATGGTAGTTTGGTGTAGTATACCTTGAGCAGTAAAGAAAGATTTGGACTCAGAACTAGTTCCTAGTTCAAAAGCATTACCAGACCTGAAAGATTGAATTGAAGTGTGAAATTGAGTTTGAACCATAAAGGTGAAAGCTTTTAAAACAAAAAGAGCATTATTTTTAGAGGAGAATAGGTGTGTCCAAGTTACCCTAGTGTAATCATCTACTAGAGTGAGAAAATACTTGAAACCATTATAAGTAAAGGTATGATAGGGGCCCCAAATATCAATGTGAACCAACTGAAAAGGGGCTGAAGAATGAATGGTACTGGCAGGGAAGGGGAGTCTCTGTTGTCTAGCCATGGGACAAACAAGACATATAGAAGGCTGTTTGGAAGAGATTTTATCAGAAATGAAAGGAGTGAATTTCATCCTACTATAAGGCATGTGACCCATTCTTTGATGCCAAAAATAGTTTGTTTTATTGATGTGAGTGTGTGAATTACAAGAGGGACTCTGGGGAATGTGATCATTAACAGAAGTAGAACTAGAACATGTAAAAACAGTAAGTATTACATGGTTAAGGTAAAACACAAAAAAGAGATTGAACATTATCAGCAAGATGGAGAAAATACAACCCATTATCAACTCTACCAATTTCTAGTACTTTTCAGAGAAGGGCCCTGTAAAAAATATTTAAAAATGGTGAGAACTGCATAATAGTTAAACTGTAAAAGTAGATGGTAAATAAAAATTAGATTGAATTGGAAAGAGGGAACAAGAAGAACATTGTGAAGAATTATGTCAGATCTAAGGTGTAGAGAACTAGTGGAGACAACTTTCACTTTGTAGCCATTTGGTAAAGTTATCAAGTAAGGGCTAGCTAGTGGTGTTAAATTGTGAAGTAAATATTTGTAGGGGGTCATACGATTAGTGGCCCCTGAGTCTAAGATCCAAGTGTCTATGGTGAATTGAGATAATTTACAAGCATGAAAGTCCACAAAATTAACTATAGAACAAACCTGCAAAATTTGCATAAGCAGTGTTCTCTTCAGAAGACAGGTTATTGTTGTTGGCCTCAGGGTAGATATGAGATTGTTGCAGTAAACTCAGAAGGTGTTTATATTGTTCTTGAGTAAAACCATGTGAAGAAATATCAGGAGTTGTGGAACCTTGGGGAAAAGCTGATGAAAGACCAGAGAAAGAAGCATCAACATGCACACAAGAGGCTGGTCTTTTGTTCTTGTTGAACTTGAAATCAGGGAAAAATCCATGGAGCTTGTAACACTTTTCAATGGTGTGCCCAGGTTTCTTGCAATATTTGCAAGATATAGACTGATTAGGTCTTTTTGTCTCAAATTGAATTCTCCGATTAAAAGACCTCTGACCATTGTTAGGTGCAGAAGAAGCAGAGAAAGAGACAGATTCAGCAGAAAAACCTGGAGAAGATGCTTTCTCTCTTTGTTTTTTATCATGCTGCAGAATAGATTAGGCTTTACTGACAGTTGGGAGAGGGGTTATCATAAGAATGCTGCTCTTGACTGTGGAGTATAAATCTTTTAGCCCATCAAGGAACCAGAATAGTTTGAGTTCCTCTAGGAATTTAGGAAGGGCTCCACATGAGCAAATAGGTCCGACATAAGTTGTGTTCATCTCATCTTAAAGACTGCGTAGTCTGGTGAAATATGAAGCTATGTCTGAGGTCCCTTGAGAGATAGAACCAATGTCCCTTTGGATTTGAATGAATTTTTGACCCATTTGATTCACTAAACCTCTCATTTATATCCAACCATATCTCTCTAACAGTGTCATACCCTAAGACACTAGTAGCAATCTCTCTAGACAGAGAATTGGTGATCCAAGCAATCATCATATCATTACACCTTTCTCAATAGGAATAATAAAGGGAATCCTCAATAGGTTTATCATGGCGGCCATTAATTAGCCGTAATTTGTTCTTGGCAGAAAGAGGCACAAGCATACTCCTCCTCCAAGCCACAAAACCAATACCATCAAAAGGAGGGGAGACTAAATGAGTACCATGACTATCAGAGGGGTGCACGTAGAAAGGATGTGAAAAATCTAAGGTGAAAGTTGAAAAACCCTTTGATGAATTAACTTCGTCAATAGCCATGAGCAAAACTCAATTTTAATACTACAAACACAGAAATAAAAGGCTATAAGGCTAAGATTGATTTAAAAAATACATGAAATTGAAGCTTGAGGGAGATAATACCGGTTTTGCTTCAACAACTCAAAATCAGCAGCAAAACTCTTCACGAGTTAACGAAATGACCAGTAGAAGAAATCCTCAGCTGTTATTTCGCTATAGATGACAACAGATACTTTAGAATTCCACCGGAGAACGAACTTTCTTCGGAAGTTAGGGTTTCTTCGAACTTGTCAAAAACCACAGAATCTAACCTCGAGGCTAGGATCGGAAGGAAGAGGAGAACGAATGGAGTTTATTCACCCGCTCTGATACTATGTTAGAAGCTCAGAGTGAGCTCATGCAATGGGTTTCAATGGAGGAAACCCTAGCTGTACAATAGAGAGAAAAGGGGAAAAGAACTGTTGGAGAAAATATCTATTATCATTAATGAATCTCCTAACTTCTTATTTCCGGAAATACAAGTATTTATACTTGTGTTACAATGTGGCTATATTTACAAAGGTAAAATGGCTAAAGAATATAAAAGCTATGTTGCTATATGTGTGTGTTATTATGTGGGCTGCTGGGAGAGGAGTGGGCCTGGTCTGAAGGAGTCCGGAACTGAGGCCCAATCTGCTCAACACCTTTTAAGTTGTATAAAATCCGTGTAAACTTGTTATAAAGCGGACTAATTAGTCATTGAATTGACTTAGCCTAATAATTTAGTTTTTTCCATTTTACATTCATTCAGCTAAAAGGCCATTTAACTAAAGACGTTCTAACAGAAAGAAGAAAGGGGAAAGTACAGAAAGGATTCCGCGACTTGCTCGTTAATTCCACTTATTTGTTTTATTTCGCTAAATTTTATTCATTTGTTTCTTTTTATTTTCAATTTTTTTTCTTAGAGAACCTCAGCTAGTGTTTTCCCAAACTTCTTTAGAATAAAATATGCAAATGAGTTTTGCTGATACTTTATTCTTTTGTACATAATAATCAATGAAATGGGTAAAAATCATGAGAAAATAGAATTTAAATTCCTTTAGTGACAAAATGCTAGTAGATGATATTCTTCTATCTGTCTAAACCTTAATGAATAAAGTTACTCGATTTTTATAATGGATGGGGGAGGCAGAGTGGGATGTGGGTTGGTCGAATCCAATAACCTTTGTTCAAATCTTGTATTCGTCTTAAGAAATTTATTAAATATGTACAAATTATTAATTTCGACCCACTGAAACCATAAGTTTTAAATTTTGACTCCAACTCTATATACCGGTAAGAAATAAAAAATACCCAATTTAATAGTCGAGGTATGACCAAATTCGTCTGAACACCACCATTTTTTCTATAAAAAAAAAAATACTAATACATGATTTCTTGTGTTTCTCTCTCTGTCCATGTAATTTGTAAGCCAACCTCTCAACCTTTCCTTTTGGACAGTTTAGGTAGTTGTCCACCTCTACTTCTAATTCTTAATTTTCTCTTTCTCTAATTATTCATCCCTCCTTCTTCCTTCTCCCTCTCTGTATCTTTAGATTATCCAAACAAAAAATTTGCCCCATTCAAACAACTATTTGAGAAAAAGAGAGGAAAAAAACAAAGGTTTCTTTTCAACTCCTCTGGGCAATTTTTGCCCTAATATCATATCTTTTCTTCAACTCTTTCTCCTTCATTTTGGATCCACCAACTTTCTGGCCTTTAATTTCCTCTTCTTTGTTCTTCATTTATGCATGCTAATTGCATGCATATAATACCAACAATATTTGAAAGAATATATGGGGAATGCAGTTAAAAGGAGATAAAATAAGCTGCCCTTTTTCATCTCCTTTCTTTCTGCGTGGCTTAAGCGTTTACCTAAAAAGGTATTTGTATTGTGTCATTACATTCCTTGTCTTCTATTTCCTTTTGTTAATCAAGAACGTCGGAATTCTAATAAGGGGATTTAGAAACAAACGCAAGAATGTAATACCTAGAAGCAGAGGCGGACCTAGGATTTGAAGGTCGGGGGTGTACTTTTGGATTCAACTAAAATTTATTTTGTATATAAGGTTCCGACTATTAATATATCACTATTTTCTAAAGACATTTACATGTATACATAAAATTTTTGCCGAACTTTACGAGTACCGGTGACCCCTCTCGGTATAGCGTAGGTCCGCCTCTGCCCGGAAGGAGAGCCTCAGAGCAACGGTAAAATTGTCTCTGTGTGACCTCTAGGTCACATGTTCGAGCCGTTGAATCAGTCGTTAATGCTTACATTAGAGTAGGCTGCCTACGTCACACTCCATTGGGGTGCGTCCCTTTCCTGGATCCTGCATGAACGCGAGATGCTTTGTACACCGGACAAAAATATCATAACTCGAATTCAAACTCATGACCTCAAGTACTTGTCGTTACACTAGAAATTTCCCTTATGTCAAAAAGATACCGCAATTTCCATATATATAAAAAAAAACATTTACCATTTCTTTGGCATGTATTTCCGACGATGGAGATTCGATAGAACCATTTCGGACCATATAGGAAAGATATTTAGATCCATTTGCGTTTTTGCAATGTGCATTTTTTATCTACATATGAAAAGTGTAAAGTTTTTCTAATTTAATTTTTCTGTTTAATGTGTTTTCCTTTTGGTTAGGCGAAGGAATCAGTTCTTCCTATTGGCGTGGTCCTTTTGTTTGTGTTGTGTTTCATTTCTGAGCAGAGTACTATTGGCTTTTGGGGAATTTATAGCCTATACCATGGCAACCAAAGTGAAGGGGATTTACAAATATATCACCAGTATTTTTGGTAATGCCTTTTCCCTTCAATCCCATACCATTTTCCCCTTCCCTGGAATTTGTATGTATCTTAGGTTAATTTTGAAAATGTGTTTGTAATATACAGTTGTTAAGGAGAGGGAGTTGGAGATAGGATGTCCAACTGATGTTAAACATGTGGCACATATTGGTTGGGAAGGTCCCTCTGGAAATACACCCACTTGGGTATCTTATTATCTTTTCTTATCATTCTTTTATTCACATATTTGCATCTAAAAATATTTAGTCCCACCTAATATTTATACCAAATGCAAGTTATATATACGTCTTGTATATAGATAGACCTTATCATTTAACTATGGTTAGACGATATGCTTTTTCACAAGTTGAATTATTTGATTTAGTGTAAACACCAGGTACGATTAAGTATTTTTCTATTTGCATTTGCCAATCTACAATTTATTATTTTGTATGAATGGCTTTGTCATAACTGACATTTCTGTTTTTTGGTTTTATTTGTGTGGAATCCAAGATGAAAGCATTCAAGGCAGGGCCGGAATTTGCAGCAACTTCTATTGGTAGTTCTGGTTCTGCTTGGTCATCTCAAGGTTAATTTTATTAAACTTTTTTCCCCCTTTGCACACCACAAACATCTACGGAATAAGCCAACAATTAACAAACAAAAGATGTCATTTCTTTTCTAACGATGGTGTCCCGGTCAGTTTGTGTGCATCTTGATTATATCATCGAGTACATGGTATCTCCCATCAGTACAGGTACTAAGTAACTCTGTCTACCAAGGTTTAGGCAGATGATAAGAAATCACCTAACGTTTTTTGTCTTGTTGAGATTAACAACCAAAATTTGTCTTGAAAACACTATAACTATGATTTTGTCCGGTAATTTTAGACCATATTGCGCGAACACTCCAAAATAATACCGCATCCTTGTCGGATCCTTTAAAAATTGCTTTTGGAGGATCCAACATACACCGTACCTGACGACTTTTCGGAGAGTCCGAGCAACATAGATTTTAGAGCATGTGCAGTTTCCCTAGTTAGACAATTCCAAATAGTGCTCTCTCATGGGTTGAGATGTTGACTGGAAAATAATAAGCTTGTCCTATGTTTTGTTATATGGCTAATAGAATATGCTACAAATAAAGAGAAGTTTTTCTTTTCTCTAAGATGATTGCCTTAGAAAAGGAAACTTTTTTTGGCTCATATGTCACAAGAGATCTTTAACATGTCCCAAGAAAGGGCCTTGATTACTTAAAATGTGTTGTCTCTTTCTAAATAATGCTGGTGGGCAAAGTCTTGACTTGCACCAGGGACACTGAATGTAGAAATCTCAGAACAATCTGAAGTGCTAAAAACGCAACTCTGGGAAAGATTAGAAAGAAATGTATAGGCATCAAATTATATTCGTATATCATTAAATAGCTTGGTAAGTAACGGGCATGCAGATGAACATGTCCCAACTTATTATGTATTCTGAGCGTAGACGGACCCATGATTTGAAGATGGCGGGGCACATAACTCAATCAGTGCTCCCTTGGACTTTTGATCTTAAGGGTTCCAGGCAAAATATCTTATTGTTTTCAACATATATATCTAGAGTTTTTGCCGAGGTTAACGGGGCCGATGACCCCTCTTCTCTATACGTAGGCCTGCCTCTGATTGTGAGGATTCGTCATAAGCTTAGTTTTATACTTGTTATCAACCTAAAAGTTCTATCGGAAACAGTCCCTGTCCTCTCAGGATAATGGTATGTTCCCCAAACCCCACTCGTGGGAATTCACTGGATTTATTGTTATTGTTTTATTATCAACCTACTACGCCTTCCTTCCTTATCCAAGCTTCAGACCGGCAATATGACCAAACTCACAGAGCCAGAGTTAAATTAGCTATCTGTATTCCTTGTATTTGATTTACTGTCATATATGTATCTTTTGAACAGGTTGTGGAGAGATAGCGAGACAAAAAACAGCAGCTAACGTTTACAAGGACATGACAACTTCAGATGTTGCTAGTCCTCCTAGGAAACACAAACGGAGGAAGCCTAAATCAACTTCTTCTCCCAAATCTAGTTCACCATCCACGTTGAGATCGTCGCGAGCAGCTAAACCCAAGGCTAAATCTGGTGAAGGAAATCCTAAACCAGCAACAGTAGAAGTGGCTTAATATTGTTACAAAAACTGCAGTTTCAATGCTCAAAGGTTCTAACATTGTATATCATAGTTGTCGAAAATCCTCAGGATGTTTGTTAACAGTAAGGCATTTGAAGAGAAAGGGAAAGGGTGGGGAGAAAGTTGTGTAAATGTAGAGGGAGGAATAGTAAATGTGATTAAGAAATATGGAAGATGAAAATGTAGGAGAGGCTAGAGATGTCAAAAGAAAGAGACAAAAATCTAACTGTATCAAACTGGTGTTTTTGTGAAAACTAGAACGTGTTCCTTTTTCGATTTAATTTTCTCTTTTCCATCTCTTCTCTAATATGTTTCAAAGTCTACTTGTGCTTGTGATTGTGAAAATTGTGAATGCGATTAAAAAAAAAAAAGAAATTGTTATAAGAAAAATCAAATTATGGTGGATGTCTATTCTTCCTCCATGATCTTCTCAAGTACTTAATGACATATTCAATGACATATTTCTATGCTTAATGACATATTCAATGACATCTTTTTTTTCACTTTTCATGCCTATATAAAGGCCTTGTAATAGATAAGAAAATACACACAATTGAAGAGGAAAATCTCTTCCTTCTCTCTATCTCCATTTCTTGTTCATGTTTTACTAAATTGCTTTTATTTCATATAACAACATGTCTTGTTCATGTTTTACTAAGTTGCTTTTATTTTATAACACGTTATCAGCACGATGCCCTAATCAATTGAGTTACTTACATCTACAAAATTGTCCTACATTATAAAAGGCATGTTCCTGTCGTGCCTAATATTCATCTTGAAGAAATAAGCTTTTCTTTCTCATTTAGCAATTTCAAAGAATGGTATCAAACATAACTGAAGTAACAATAAGGTTGAGGAGACCAGTACACTGTGATAAGGCATATAATGCTAATGCTAAGATACGTTTTCTAATCCTTTTTAATTAATTCATTTTCTTATTCGTTTTTCTCATAGGTTCTTTATTTGTTATGAAAGTTTCCAATGCTAAGTATTTTCTTCTTACAAATCCATTCATATTCTTAAGTGTTTTACTTTATAAACGAAAATACTTAAATGTAAACTAATTACTACTCCATGTTTTACTTATTTTATTTTGTTGCATTATCAATATCTATTTCAATGAACGAGTTTCTAATATTTGTTGTAAGTTTGGTCTGATCTTTTTCATCTCGTATCCTGGTTATATAGATCTTATTATAAGAATCAGAAGTATATAATGATACAGCCAAGAGTTACGTACTAAACCAAAGACCAAAAGAAGTACAAAAAATTGGGGAGCTACTACAACTTTTGCAAAGTCATTTGAGGAACTTTGGTTCCTTAGTTAAAAAAAAAGCACGAACCTTATGTAAAGTTTCCCTTAACTGAACGTTTTACTATAAAATATATGCTTGACTATCATGCGCCATTCTGACTTTTGAAAAGGTAATGTGAGGTAAGTTTCTCTCGGGGTAATCTTAATAGCACAACTAGCATACGTTATTGATAAATAAATATATGATAAAAATGGAAAAATATTTTGAATTAGCATTGGCCGATCAAAACTTTTAATTCTCGTATATTGAAAAATTGAGTGAGTTTGTATCTCTGCAATCCAATTTTTTATTATTTGTACACGATATTATTAGTACACTCCATTAAATAAAAAAAAGGGTTTAGTTTCCTGTGACTTAAAATACATAACTGCTCCTATTTTATAACTGATGTGGGAGGCAACAAGATGGTAGAGTCATTCCAATATTGACTTTTTCATTAATGTTAAAAATATTGTCAATGACTTTTTCAATTAAAGGTTCTGCTATATCTCTTTATTTTTCTAGAGAGTATAATACTTAGTTTCCATAAAAGTGCATGGTAACTAGTAGTACTATATTATTTTATTTGATACATTATTTTTCTTTAATGTTCTAGTCATATCACTTTCATCTTGAAGTAAGTTTATTGCAGCAAAGATCACATGTGAATTTTTAATATTATTTTATATTTTCATATATCTGTTTGATACTAATTACTTAGCTGATTTGAGTAAACGAAAGTCTATTGTTGAGAATTATATCCAAATGACATTATGAATAGTTTAACTCAAGAGGTAAACATTGCCTTCACAATAATAATAATAATAATAGTTCTTCAAAATGTGAAGGCAATGTTTACCATCAAATTGATATGCAAAATAATAAAGCACGCCGCCGATTATGACACATTCATTGAAGAGAATGTGACTTGTGATAAACATTGAGAATGAGACCCATTCCTAAAGGTGAATATTGTAATATGTGATAAAAGTAATGAATAAAGACATGCAATGCATGATTGGATGAATACCACACAACTCACCTCTGAGGGAGGTTTGAGTGAAATAAAGAGAATAAATATTATTGTGTGGTTACATGAATATGTCATTGGTCGCATACATGTAATACGCCAAAAAATATTTTGTTGTGCCTTCTCCATGAAGGAGATATTTACTATATGAATGGTGTGACAAAAGATCTTGTAGTATAAAAGTTGTTAAGAGCTTCGAAAAAATTAATTTATTACTACCTGGATGAATAAAAGTATTCACGGCATTGATATTGTAAAGTCTCAAAAGAAACTTTTTGAGTTTCAAATGTATAAGTCAAAGTGGTTGGCATATTGAGACTATAAATGAAAGGAATATTGAATATTTTCATATTTCTATAATCATAACGGATAAATATGAAAGATTACTCGATTTTCTTTTTATTTGTACTACACAAATATAAGCATGATGATGGACTCATATGTCACAAGTAAACTAGAGGTTTACTAAAACAAATATTAGTTGACATGACCGGTTGACCATCTCGGTTCAATTATAATGCGAAAAATTAATTGAGAATTACATTGACATATATTGAAGAAATATAAGATTTTTCAAGAATTCTCTTGTGCTGCTTATTCTCATGATATATCAGTTAAAGTTGGGATTGAATCCTTTGATTTCTAGAACTAATAAAAGGTGATAAATATATGGGCCCAATCACCTGCCATGTCGACCGTTTACTATTATATGATTTTAATAGATGCATACATTCTTTGGTCACATGTGCATTTGTTATCAACTTGTAGTTTGGCTTTTGCAAGATTGATTGCTCAAATTATTAGAGCACAGTTCCAAACTATAAATTATGATTATTTATCTTGATAATACCGGTTTAAATCTAAGTTGGTTTAGCAGAATTGTATGCCTCCAATTATAGCTAAACCATTAGTTATGAGAATAAAATTTCCAAAATAAAATTTAGTATGTGATGTATTATTTAATATACAACAGCACTTGTACGCATCTAGCCAAATTAAGATAAGTTCTCCCTATCACAATCAGTTCAGGGTCAGGAACCAAATAATTTTCATATAGAAATATGAATGTACTATATGATTTAATTGTTCCACCACAATGTACAAAGATAGATCCCCAAATAAGGCTAGGGATATGTGTCGGTGATCCCAACAATAGGGGGAAAAAATGGGCAGCTGAAAAAGTAATGCATGTAATGAATTATTATGCGTATATCTAGATCCTCGTATGAGAAAATGTGAACTTGAAGTTCAAGGGATAATTCATTTGCAAAATATTGCCAGACGTATTTGCTGAACCAAAGTTAAATATCATATTCAGTTGCTAATGCTCCAAATAAAATAATATTTATAATGAATAGAGTCTATGGCATGCATGAAGCATAATAGACTAATCATTTCCAAAGATAAAACTCCTTGAAAAAGGAGATGAGCAAATGTTCAAGATGGTCATAATAAGGAGGCAAATGCTCTAGAAGAGCACCACGACATAACACTTCATAAGACCTCATGGGAAAGGCTAAGGTACCTGAAAATAATTAGATAAAGAGATCTCAATAAGTTATGTCTTTATTGGGTAATAGTAGAACCGATATAAAATGATCGTCGACGATATTGTTAATATAATGTAGCGCTCAATATTATTAATATTGACGAGGATCTTGAGCTCAAATCTATCATGAAATTTGGACAGAAAATGATTGGCCAAATGAAAAATACGCAATGAAAATTGATTTCACCTGAAAAATATGAAGTTGGACGGATAGTCCCAGCACCTGAAAGTATAAAGCCAGTGGAGGTATAAATGCGTTCTTGTGCGGAAAAAAAAGGCAAATCGATAAACATAAAGACGACTTGTGTCACAAAAAAATTTGTAAATATCCTGGCATTGATTATATAGAGACATGTTCTCCTGTGGTGGAGGTCGCCATTTCAGGCTTTAATCTGGCAATACAAGAAAAACGTGATATGCGTATAATAAAAATCATTGAAGGATTTAAATTGTTCTAAAGCATATTAAGGTTTCCAAGAAATTTATTAAATAAAGCTTCAAAAATCCTTATACGGAATCAGGGCGCATGTGGTATAGTCGCCTGAGTGAGTACCTGTTGAAAGAAGGGTACAAGAAGGATTCAATTTGTCCTTATATCTTTATAAAAAGATATGGATCTAAATTTGTTATAATCACCGTGTATGTTGATGATTTAAATATCATTGGAACTCCTAGGGAGCTTCCTAAAGCAGTAGAGCTTCCTAAAGCAGTAGACTATTTAAAGAAAGAATTTAAAATGAAAGATCTTGAAAAGACAGAATTTTATCTTGGTCTACAAATTGAGTATATGAAAGATGGAGTTTTTGTCCATCAATCAGAATACACTAAAATAATTTTAAAGCGATTATATATGGATAAAGCACATCCATTCCGACCTCATGAAAATAATAAAGAGCTTATTGGTCCCGAAGTATCATATCTTAGTGCAATTGGTGCACTAATATATCTTTCTAACATTACAAGGTCTGACATAACTTTTTCAGTTAATGTCTTAACAAGATATAGCTCTGCTCCTACAAGGAGACATTGGAATGGAATCAAACACATATTGCGGTATCTAAAAGGGACTACCGATATGAGATTATTTTATGGAAATGATTGTAGTCCCGATCTTGTTGGTTATGCCGATGCTGGGTATTTATATGACCCACACAAGGCTCTATCTCAAACAGGCTAAGTGTTTACATATGGAGGCACTGCCATATCTTGGCGATTGACTAAGCAATCAATCGTGGCTACTTCATCTAATCATGCTGAGATAATTGCTATTCATGAAGCAAGTCGAGAATGTGTATGGTTGAGGTCTATAATACACCTTATTCGAGACAAATATGATTTGAAGTGTGATAAACTACCCACAATTTTGTATGAAGACAATGTAACATGCATAGCCCAATTGAAGAGAGGATTTATAAAGGGGATATGATAAAACAAATTTCACCAAAGTTATTTTTCACACATGATCTTAAAAAGAATGGTGATATCAATGTGCAACAAATCCGTTCAAGTGATAATATGGCTAATCTGTTCACCAAATCTCTACCGACGTCAACCTTCAAGAAACTAGTGTACAAGATTGGGATGCGAAGGCTCAAGGATGTGAATTGATGCTCTCATCAGGGGGAGTAAATACGCGTTGTACTCTTTTTCCCTTACAAGGTTTTGTCCCACTGGGTTTTCCTTGCAAGATTTTTAACGAGGCAACCAAAAGGCGGATTTCTAAACATGTGTACTCTTTTTCCTTCACTAGGATTTTTTTTCCCATAGGATTTTTTCCTAATAAGGTTTTAACGAGGCACATTATCTATGGACATCCAAGGGGGAGTGTTATAAGAAAAATTAAATTATTGTGGATGTCTATTCTTCCTCCATGATCTTTTCAAATGCTTAATGACATATTCAATGACATATTTCGATGCTTAGTGACATATTCAATAACATCTTTTTCTTCACTTTTCATGCCTATATAAAGGCCTTGTAATAGATAAGAAAATACACACAATTGAAGAAGAAAATATCTTCCTTCTCTCTATCTCCATTTCTTGTTTATGTTTTACTAAATTAATTTTATTTCATATAACAACATGTCTTGTTCATATTTTACTAAGTTGCTTTTATTTTATAACAAAAATGATATTGTACAGACACTTTCAAAATAATAGCTGAAAGAATATATATTCTTTATATATTTTTGTATATATACACATTATTGTGTGTTATATAAAAATATATATAAACTTTATATACTTTTATAACTATCAGTTATAAATAGTTTCGGCCGTGAGCTAAAAATAATTTTTGCCCCATAAAAAGCTACCATTGGTTCTTATTTATTCGAAAACTCTTGTGGTGCCTTTTTAAAATAGAATATGAAGGCGGCCCTGTATTGGCCTATTGGGCCAAAATTAAGCACTATTACTCCCCTAGGTCATTATGATAAAAATTGAAAAATAGTCACTTTTTACTCTTGCTATTATAGTTTAGTCTGTATTTAAAAAGTCATTAGTATTTAGCCACTCTTTTGACGCGAAAAAATATTAGAACAAAAATAACCCTAACAAAAATATTAAAAACTCCAAGAACAATTATTGAACTTTGAACAATTAAAAGTTCCTCTTAATGTTAAACTCCAGCATCGTACGGTGGGGTTCAGATTTTTTAAGAGTGAAACTCCGGTATACCGGTGCTGGAGTTTATAACTTCAAGAAAAAGAAAACCCTCTCTGTTAATGCACTTTACTGTTCATTTTTGCAGCTTTGGTTCCATAAGTCGAAAGCAAGCTTGTACAATAAAGAAGGGGTATTATCACTTTTAACTCGCGCTAGAAACTATTAAATTCGGTAGCCGAGAATTGAACTGTTGGAGAATTGAAAAAGAAACAAGAAAAACTATTATAGAAAAGACTATTTAATGCAGAGAACTTTACGTTACTTTTCTAATTCATTAGAAAACAAAAGCTACATAGCATCCTTTATATAGGGATTTAGTCTAACTTACTAAGAGATAACTGTCTGAACATGATCTACTAACTTAACCACTAATTTACCCACTAAGCCACTAATAGAGATAGACCCAACTAAACCTGAAATATGCCAAATACCCAACTAAATAGGAATTACATTTTTTGAATCAATATTCAACATTCCCTTTTGATTCCAAACTACAGACTCCAAGTTTTTGTCGAAAATAATCATGCTTGGCTTGTGGGAGTGCCTTAGTAAGGACATCATCAATTTGATCCCTTGTACTACAAAACTTCAACTATATTTCTCCCTTTGCTGTGAGATTGCGAATGAAATGATAACGGATGTCAATGTGCTTTGTTCTGCTGTGAAAAGCCGGATTCTTTGTCATTGCAATCGTTGCCTTGTTGTCACAGAATATTTTTGTTGCACCCTCTTGCTAATGGCGGACATCAACTAACAATCTTCGCAACCATATAGCCTGACAAACTGCTGAAGTTACAGCAACATAATATGCTTCCGACGATGATAATGCAACCGCGTCTTGCTTCTGCGAACACCATGAAATTACTCTAGATCCCAAGCTGCAAACATTTCCATAGGTACTCTTTCTGTAATCTATACTTCCTGCCCAATCGTTGTCACTATAACCAATCAGGCTCAAGTCTATGTCTTTAGAGTACCAAATCCCAAAGTCAACGGTCCCAACAACATATCGCAAAACCCTTTTAGCAGCACCAAGATGTTGTTTACTAGGACTACTCGCATACCTAGACAACACACTAACAGAAAATATAATATCAGGACGAGTGTGTGTCAGGTAGTTCAAACCTCCAATCAAGCTTCTGTAATAACTTGGATCAGCAGGATCGGTGCCATCTTCAAGCTGCAATTTTTTATTTGCACTCATGGGTATTGCAGCCACTTTACAATTCTGCATACCAAACCTGAGCAGAAGATTTTTTACATACTTTCTTTGTGACACAAAAATCCCATCTTTTTCCTGTTTCACTTGAAGACCAAGAAAATATTGCAAAGTACCTAAATCTGACATTTCAAACTCCTTCATCATACATGATTTAAATTCAGCCACCAAAGTTTCACATGATCCCTTATAAATCATGTCATCAACATACAAATAAACTACCAGAAAATCACTCGTATCTTGCTTCTTTACATACATTGTAGGCTCGCTTTTGCTCCTTTGAAATCCGTTCTTCAAGAAATATGAGTCAATTTTATTTTACCATGCCCGTGGTGCTTGTTTTAGCCCATAAAGAGCTTTCTTGAGCTTGTATACTTTGCTTTTGTTGTATCTAATAACAAAACCCTCAGGTTGGGAAACATGCACTTCCTCTTCTAGATCCCCGTTTAAGAATGCAGATTTAACATCAAATTGATAAACGGGCCAGCTTAATGTAGCAGCCAAATAGAAGAGCGTTCTCACTGTTTCAAAGCGAGAAATAGGTAAAAACGTTTCATCATAGTCAATACCTTGATGTTTTGCATATCCTTTAGCTACCAGCCTCGCTTTATATATCTGTATGCTCACATCTGCATGATGCTTTATTTTGAACACCCATTTGAGTCTAATGGGTTCTTTGCCATTTGGTAGATCCACCAACTCCCATGTCTGATTCTGCTCAATTGCTTGCAACTCTTCTTTCATTGCATTTCTCCATTCTTCAATCTCGGCAGCTTCCTTGAAGCAAGTGGGTTCTGCAACATACAAAGCAAACGAGCAATTTTCATAAATTTCCCTCAACTATCTAAATTTTGTTGGTGGAGTCTCACTGGAAGAGTTTGATGGAGAATAATTGTTGTTGCTTCTTTGTGGAGTTAAGGAGTGATCACTTGCTGGAGAAGAGGTGCTTGACTGAGGAGTAGAAAAACTGGTACTTATTGGAGAAGAATTAGATGAGTTCCCTGAAGCAGAGTCTGTTGCAGATTCTTGATTAAAAACATCATCAGTAAGTGCCAATTGTATATTTGAACTCACATTCCAGAATTAAAGTTCCAGCTTGCATCTTCATTAAACACAATATTTCTACTGATTATAACTTTGCCACTCACTGGATTATATATCTTATAAGCTCTGGATTGTGCGTTATAGCCAACAAATATACATTTTTCAGATTTTCCATCAATATAATGTCGAGCCTATGAATTCACCAAAGCATAAGCTATACATCCAAAGATGCGTAAGTGGCTTACCTTGGGCTTGTTACCTCTCCATGCTTTATATGGTGTTTGATTAAGAACAACCTTGGTGGGTGAGATATTCAGCAAATAGACAGTTGTGGCAACAACTTCAGCCCAGAAACACTTTGGTACACCTTTGGCTTTCATCATGCTTCTACCCATCTCAACAACTGTCCGGTTCTTTCGTTCCGCTACACCATTTTGCTCCGGTGTATATGGTGTTGTGAGCTCTCAGTGAATACTATTTTCCTCACAGAAAATGTTGAATTCATTTGACATAAACTCGCCACCCCTATTTGTTCGAAGAGTCTTGACTCTATAGCCACTTTGCTTATCAACAAAAGACTTAAATTTCTTAAAATATTCAAACGTTTTACATTTGAATTTCAAGAAATATACCCAACTCATTCGACTATCATCATCAACAAAAAGTAGAAAGTATCGATTTCCACCTAAGGACTCAACACTCATAGGACCGCACAAATCATCATGCACGAACTCAAGACAAATAGAAGCTCTCCAGGACTTGCCTACAAGGAATTAATTTCTATTTTGCTTCTCATACACACATCCTTCACAGAATTCAAGAGCATCAATTTTAAGCAAACCAAGAACTATATTTATATGACCTAATAATTGCAACCCCTTTATATTCAAATGACCATACCGCAAATGTCACAAGTTAGCTTCTATACCACTTTTGGCAACTAATGCACAACTTTCAACATTAGAAACTTCGAGAGGAAACATTTTGTTCCTAGTCATTTGAACATTAAATTTTTTTTGACCTGGTTTCTTATCTTGAATGCTACAAGCATTGTCATCAAATAGAATAGAGTATTCACAAGTCATCAATTGCCCAGCACTCAACAGGTTATGAGCTAAACAAGGAACAAACTGCACAACATGGAGAAGTGTAATATTACCTTGAGAAGTTTTTAAGGCAATTGTACCTTTCCCTTCGGCTTTCATTGCTTTATCATTTCCTAGCCGAACTTTTGACTTCTCTGATTCATCAAGCTCTTTGAACAACGACATTGTTCCAAACACGTGGTTAGAGAAACCATTGTCAATAAACCATACATCATTCAAACCATCACTTACAGAGGAGTGAGCCATGAACAAAGTACTCTCCTCTTGTGGTTTCTCCGTGAAATTGACATGTATTTTTGTAACGACCTGACTTGTCGTTTTGAGAATTAGCATCCCGTTCAGTGGCTTAAGATCACGAACAGCTTTGTAATGCATACTATGACTTATATGTGTGGTCGAGTTTTATTTTCGGACGATTCAAGATCAAATTGGGAAAACAATTCTTATTTAAAAAACTTAAAAGAAAAAAGTTGATCGGAGAGTTTGACTTTCGTGCGAATGACTCCGGAATGGAGTTTTAATGGTTCAAATAGCCTCGTATGGTTATTTTTGACTTAGAAGTGTGTCTGGATATTCATTTGAAAGTCTGTACTTGATTTTGGATTGAAATGGCAAAAGTTGAAATTTAATAGTTTCATTTAAGCTTGAACTGGGGTGTGATTCGTATTTTTAGTATTGTTTGAGGTGAATTGAGGCAATTAATAAGTTCGTATGATATTTTAGGACTTGTTGGTATATTTGGTTGAGGTCTCGAGAGCCTCGGGTGGATTTTGGATGGTTAACGAAATTTAATTTGGACATTTCTAGAATGTTTTGACATCGCTTCTTCAAGAATAAGTGGTATAACATTAAGCAAATTAGCTCCAAATTCAGTTTTTATTTGAAGCATTAGATCCATATTAAAATTACGGAGCCATAGCAAAAAGAATCGTCGAATTCGGATATCGTATGAGAGAGTTATGCCCATTTTCGGAAGAAATAAAAATGATTTCCCATCGCTAGCTCCCAGGGTAGCGTGGGGCGCTAGCCATGGCGCTGGGATTTTTGAGATTCTGAAAATTGGGTCACAGGTCGAGCCCCACACTACCTGTGGCGCTCAAAATTTTATATACTCATTTCGGGATTCATTTTTCCTCATTCCTCTTGGCCGAAATTTGGGGGTTTCCTCCACTCTCTCAAGACCTCCAACTTCCCCCATCTTCAAGATGAGTAATATCTACTAATTTGGTGTTTCATTCCATCAATTCCACCCTAAAACTAACTCAATCCTCCATGAATTCCTTGGATCTTCAAGAAATTTCTTCATTTTCGATTGGGATTTTTGGAGCTCGGTTCTTCGGCGATTTTGAGGATTCCTTCAAGACATCAATAGTGATTATATTTTATAAATCCATGTTTATATTCATCATTTAATTCGTATTTAAATGGAAGAAATTGAGATTTTTGCAAAATCTTTCCAAAAACGGAAATTTAAAATTTGGAGCTCGAGTTGTTATCGAAATTTGATAAAATTGGTATGGTTGGACTTGTATCGAAATGGGTGTTTGAATTTCAAGAAAAATCTGTCGAGTTCTGAGAGGCGGGCTCCGCGTTGACGTTTAGTTGACTTTTTAATATGAATTTTTAAGTCGATATTTTATTATCCAGAATTATTTTTAATAAATTTTAATGAAGTTATACAATTAATTTGGATAGATTTGAGCTGTCCGGAAGTCAATTAAAGCAAGAAAGCTTTTTTGGAATATCGGCCTAATTTCAAAAAGGTAAGTGCCTTATCTAACTTTATGTGGGGGAAACAAATCCTTAGGATTTGAGATGATTGTGTCATTCGTGTTATGTGAAGGTCGTGTACGCGAGGTGACAAGTGGGTGCACGACCTATATTTGGTATTTGACCAGTTTGGATTGTTAGGCTCCCTTCATGTAACTAATTGTAACTATCGTTTCATGACTACATCTTTTGTGTTAGAATTGTTTGTACGTGCTTTACTTGAAATTGTTAGAACATGTTCCATCTTTGTTGTCAAGATCGCCTTATATGTCAATTGTTGATTGTAACCTCTTGTTGAATTCATGCTTTACCTGCTACATGCCTTGATTGGCTTATGGATTATCATTTCCTTGCTATTTGATTTCGTGAGCTATCGTGTAACCTTTTTCATTAGTTGTGACTTCTTTGTGTAGCCTCGTTATTCCTTTTGATTTTGTGATATATCGTAGTTGGTTGTATATTTATTGCTTAATTTGTGTTGCTTGAGGATCGGGTCGCACGCCGCAACAAATATGATTTATATTATTGGATTGGGTTGCACGCCGCAAAGGAATTTATTTGAAAAATTATATTGTTGGATCAAGTTGCACGCCGCAACTGAATTTAATTGAAAGATTATATTGTTGTATCGGGTTGCATGCCGCAATGCAATTTAATTAAAATATTTTATTGTTGGACCGAGTTGCACGCCGCAACGGAATTTAATTGAAAGATTATATTTTTGGATCGGGTTTCACGCCGCAACGGAATTTAATTGAAGGATGGTATTGAGGGAACGGAGACGTATGTACTTATCTTCGAGAGGCTACAGAAACTATTAGGAAATTTCACTTTTTTTATTCCTTATCGTGCGATACTCATTCAGCTTGAAGCATATATCTTATATTCATTCACATCCGCTCGTGTATGACATTGCGCACTCGGTATCAGCTGTGCGCCGATGGTTCGTGATGTCGCGTATAGACTATGAGGGGGCCAGGGATGCTCAAACATCGTCTCAATGTGTGGTCTCGACTGAATATGCAGATGTATTGAAGGATCACTCAGTGATTTATGTGGGGGTGAGCGGATTCTGGCATCTGGTTGATGAGTACGAGTTGTGAAGTTTAGTATTGTGGATCATCGGACGTTGTGTCCTATGGCTTCACACCAAGTGGAGGAGTCCACTATAGACGAACATATTGCGGGGTCATGAGGTATATCAGTTCTGGCCTGAGATGTACATATGTGGTACTGAAAGGTTCCCCAAAATTTGCACATATTTAAGGCCTGCGATTTTGCAGGTGATAATGTTAGGACTTGCGGTATGACTGTGTCCTTAATAATCCTATATTTCAG